GCATGGAGGGATGGACACAGGGAAGAGGTGACTATAGGGAGGAAGCGGGAGGGGAGCTGTTGCATTGTGGAAAATTGTGGTCAATGTCATGAGACAAAGCGTATGTGAACTGCTTTATGGAAATTGAATTTCCTCTGTAAATTTTCACCCAAATCACACACACACAAAGTTGTCTGGGTTGAGGGTCACCCCTGTGGGGCACAGCTGGACAACTGTCCTTCTAACATGCTATGACACACGTGTGAGTGGGGCAGGGCTATTAGTGACCTAGTGTCCTCTGAGCACACAGAAAGATGAACACTTGCTCTCTGGGCACCAACAGGGATACCGAGGGGATGGTAGATGACTCCAGCCAGCTCCTCCTGGATGGAGTGTCCCCAGCCCTCCCTGCCTCAGCTGGCAGGGCGGCAGCAGGGGACCAATTCCTGGAACCATAGTTGAGCGGCCTCTCCAGAGGTGCTCTCCAGCACATCAAGGATGCAGAGGCACTGGGCCTGGGCCTCTGCCAGGGCAGGGGTGCACCATGGAGAGATGGGGCTATCCCACCCAGGCCCAGGGGGATATCTGCCTAGGGCAGATAGGATCAGGGTGGGAGTGGGTCTGCTGGCTGGGGCAGAGACAGGGTGCATGCCTCCCTCCATGCCCTGTGTGTGGGGGGCAGTCTCTCTGGGGAGGCAGTGAGATGGCTGGGGGACTAGGCCATCCTGGGGACTCTCGTCACAGCTGTCTTTCAGGCTGATCTCAGAGGGTGGCCCTTCTATCAAATGCATGGCCCTTGGGCAGGATCCCAGTGTGTCCAAGTCCAGCAGAGTTGACGATGGTCCTGTCTGCTGAAGCTCATGGCTTGTCCCCATGTTTCCCCTGCTGTTCCCTGTCCCTCTTGGACCTGCTTTGGTCCTCAATCCCCCTCCCACAGCACACTAACTTCAAGACCCCACCCACAGATGGGTGCTTAGCTGTGGCAGCTGACAACGTGAGCATGAAACAGGAGGACTGACCAGGACTGGGAGTGAGGAGTGGGGAGGGGGCGTGCTGGGCCCACCTGGGTAAGGACAGAGAACATGCTCAAGCATCAGACCGACTCATAGTGACCCCTCCTCAGGTTTCCGAGACAGTATCATTACGGTAGATTGCCCAAGCTTCCTTCCAAGAAGTGGCTGGTGTGTTTGAACCACCAGCCTCCTAGTCAGCAGTCAAGTGCCTTAGGCACTATGCTGCCAGCACATGGGGCCAATTTCAATCATTAAGGACACTTCAGCAAGTTCCCAGTTCCTTGTGTGAGCAGAACCGGCTTTCAATTACACCCTTCCTGAGGGCAAACTGCCCCTCCCTATTTAGCCCCGCACTTGTCAAGGCAAAGCCACATTGCTGGTTTAACGGTCAGAAAGAACTCAAATGGCATCTGAACTTATGTCAAGACTCAACTGGAGTCTGGGTTCTTGCTGTGGACCACAGCCTCCATGAACCAAGTCCTTTAGCATTTAAGCTGCAATACAGTGGACAAGGCAGTCCTGCAGCAGGCTGGGGACAAGGGAGAGGCCAGCTGGGCAACTCCTAAAAACCAAAACCACACTCAGTGCTATGGAGTCGAGCCTGATTTCCACTCATAGCCACTCCTCCTAGGGTTTCTCGGCGCTATGTCCACGGAAGTAGATTGCCTAACTTTCCTACCCAGCGGTGGCTGGTGCATTTGAACTGCCAGCCTTCTGGTTAGCAGGCACTGGTCTCCAGTGCGGTAGAATGTCCCTAGGGCCCACCCATGCCCTAAATGGGGGTGCGGGTTCGGCTAATAACTTCCTGACTTAACCAGAGACCTCTTCAGCTCTGAGCCCTACCCCTCTCCCCGCAACCCCGGCCCTGGAGTAACTTGAGCCTCAGGAATGTGTCCCGCCTCCTGAGCCCCGGCCAATCCCAATTCCCAGTGCCAGGAAATAGGGATTCCTGGAAATCGAAACTCCTGGGAAGAGAGATCGGCGGAGCATCGACCCTACACCGGATCCACTCAACTGCAGATTGTCGTTGGGCGCCATGAACCGCACTTCCCAACCCTTCTTCACGCATGGAAGCCCCAGTCTCCCCTCAAATTATGAGATGCTCAAGGAGGAACACGAGGTGGCCGCGCTGGGGGCACCCCTCAGCCCCGCGCCTCTCAGCCCGGTGCCCGTGACGTCCACCGTGATCAACATCCGCAGTGAGACCTCGGTGCCGGACCACGTTGTCTGGTCCCTCTTCAACACGCTCTTCCTGAACTTCTGCTGCCTGGGCTTCGTGGCGTTCGCCTACTCCGTGAAGGTGCGTGTGGGCCGGACACGTGGGGGACGCCCCACGTGGGTGCGAGGGTGCCTCAGGGTGCCTCTGCCCAGTTGGGAGTTTGTGTGTTTGTGTGTGTACGCTTGTGTGCATGTGTGTCCTGGGTATACACGCTGGATTCTCCAGGAGGAAGCAAGTGGGCATGCGTGGTGCCCTGCTCCCAGGTGAGTGAGCGCCTGCGTGTGAATGTGTGTGCGCTTGTGTTATGCATGTGTGTGCTGGCACACGGAGGATTCTCCCAGGGGTGTGAGTGGGCACAGGCACATGTGATGAGAAAGGCCCTGTGTGTGTTCTTGTGTGACTGTTTTGCTCATCTCTCTCCTGTGTGTGTGTTCTGTGTGTGCCTCTCTCTGTGTGTCTGTGTCGTGGGGAGTCAGTCCTAGCACAGGTCAGTGATGACACGGTAAGGGTGCATGGTGATGGCTGTGGTCTGTCCTTATGCACACAGCCATACCACAAGCAATCCTGCCCCCAGTTCCCGAGGAAAGCTCCTTTCCTCCCAGTTCAATAGAGAAATGCACCCGTCACCCTTGGATTAGGCCCCAGGCTGGCTCTGAAGACACCAAATCCTCCCACCTGGGGTGGGGCGGCGGTGGGGCAGTGCTCACACCACAGCAGAGGGAGAGGAGTCCTGGAGAGGCTGAGGGGCAGAGAAGAGGTCTTGGCTCCAGCAGGAAGGGGACAGGAAGTGTCCTGCTTGGGCTCCAGTGAGCAGTGGGGCTCCACAATGTGGGTGAGGGCTGGTGCAGGCTGTGCTGGAGACAGAGGACCAGGGGGGACCACAGTGCCACCATCAGCTCCTGGCTCCTAGGGGTCCCTCCCGGGTCCCCCCATCATCTCATCTCCCCCAGTCTAGGGACCGGAAGATGGTGGGTGATGTGATTGGGGCCCAGAGCTACGCCTCCACCGCCAAGTGCCTGAACATCTGCTCGCTGCTCTTCAGCCTCCTTGGGGTCATCGTGGTCATCATCCTTCTTGCCACTGGGGCACTGATAAGCACCGAAGCCATTTCACAGACGGTAGAGAAACTTGGGGGCTACTAGTCACTGCCCATTGCGGTGGCCCCGCCCTCCGACCCTCCACAGCTGTCTCCAATCCCACCTGTTGGCTCCTCCCCACCCCGTTTATAGCAGTTTGTATACATGTGTCTGTCTATAAACAAATTCAATAAAGTGCCTGTGTGCGTAACACATGTATGTGTGTGACATTGTCCTGGGAGGGGTGCCTGCCCTAAGTTTCCAGGCTTGTCCTGACACTGAGCAGAGAACTTAACCCCACATTGTCCCACTGTCAGGATGAGCTGAGAAAGCCAGGCATGGCCTCAGGTAGGACCCACTCCAGGTGGGGCTCCCTCAACCCTGAGGGCTGATGCAGAGTGGGCTGTTATGGCGGGTAGCACTGGGTCCATCTTGATCCTAAGGTCTCCCCTTTGACCTCACACAGGGTGCAGAGGACCCTGACTCAGGCACTCTGGGATCTGGGTCAAAGGTCAGCCCTCTGGGGTGCAGCTGGCCAATTGTTGTTCTGACATGCAGTGAATGAGGTGAGGCTGCCAATGACCCAGTGTCCTCTGAACAGGGCCTTCTGTCCACCACTGGGGACACCTAGGGGAGGGTGGATGACCCCAGCTGCAGCACCTCTTTCCTGCTCCTGCTCTGAGTGGGACGGGGGACCAATTCGTAGAACCATAGGTAGGTGGCCCCTCCAGAGGGCATGTCCAGCACATCCAGGATGAGAAGCACCAGGCCTGAGTCTCTGCCGTGCTGGGGCTGCACAGTGGGGAGGTGGGGCTGACCTTACCCAGATCCAGGGGAAGAACTTGCCTGGGGCAGATGGGGGTGCTGACTGGATCAAGGTGGGGAGTGGGCCTGCTGAGGCAGACACAAATGGGATGCCCTTGGCCCCTGCCTCCATGCCCTGTAGAGTGGGGTAATCTCTCTGGGAGGTGGGGGCCCAGGTTATACTGGAAACCTCCCCATGGCCGGCTTTCAGGATGGATGGCCACAGGGGTGAGCCCTCCTGGCACAGATGGACCACTTTTGGGGACTCAGGCACTTGTGAGTCCCAGCAGGAGGAACGATGGCTGGTCCTGTCTGCTGAAGCTCATGTTTTGTGCTTGTGTTTCTCCTGGCTTCCTCATCCATCTTGGATGGACTTCCCTCTGATCTTTCATCCTTGTTCCCTGTCTCCTAGCACCTTAACTCCAATATCCCACCAGATGGGTGCTCCCCTGTGGTGGAGGAGTGGGAACGATGGCACCCATCTCCTTGGAGTCCCATGGATGTGAGCATGAGGGAGGGCCCAAGTAGGAACTGGACAGTGAGGAGTGGGGAGGGGGCGAGCTGGACCCCTGGGCAGAGACAGACAACGCGCTCCCAGGAGAGAGCAGGGTAGAGGTACCTCCTAGCTGTGGTTGACCCAGCCCCCAAATCTGGCAGGGGCCTTGTCCCAGGACCAGACAAGGGAAGGATGCTGGGATCAGAGGTCCCCTTTGATGGGCAGTGCTCAGAATGGCCCAGTGCAGTCAGTTTGGGGTCAGAAGCCCACTGGAGCTGTGCTAACTTTGAGAGGCCAAAGAGGGTCCTGCCATGGATGAGACCCCCTCATGCAGCCAGCAAGGAACTGGCAACGTGGAACCTTTGAATGACTGCAGGCAAGGCCTGATGCCCGATGAGGATGGAGTGGTCAGTTTGGAGGCCCTGAGCACAGGCTGCTGGGCAGCAGGGCCCAGTCCAGGACTGCACCTTGGGCCAAGGGCTCAGATGCGGAAGCCGGGTGTCTATGGGAGGATTGCGGGTGTGAGGTGGGGGACAGGCTGGCGGGGCCAGAGGAAGTGGGCCAGAGACGGGGATGGCGGGAGAGAGAAACGGGACTTGAGCCGAGCTGAGAGGCTATGGGCACTGGGGCGAGTGAAGAGGTGCGGAGTGTGTGTGCATAACCATCTGGGGAGGGGAGAGGTGCAGGAAGGCGTCCCCTGCAGACTGCATTGCTCAGAGGAGAATCTGCCCTGCCCCTTGAGGAACTCTGGGGAACCAGGGACAGGCCTCCCTGGAATTGCGTGTCAGGACTGTCCTTGGGGTAAGGAGAGCAGAGAGCATCTCCAGGCCACGGGTTCCTATGCAGAGCGGCCACTGGCCACCCCTAGCCAGCAGTGACTTTGCACCGCCCTCTGCTGGAGGGCGCTCACGGCCCAGAACCAGCACTCTGATAGCGTAGTGGCTAAGACACTTGACTGCTAACCAGAAGGCTGATGGTTCAAACCCACCAGCCACTCCTTGGAAGGAACATGGGGCAATCTACTTCCGTAGTGATAATTGCCTCCGCAACCCAAGGAGGGGTCGCTATGAGTTGGGTCCAACTCAAGGGCACATAACATCAACAGCCAGCAGTGACTTTGCACCGCCCTCCGCTGGAGGACGCTCACGGCCCAGAACCGGCCTAAGCCGGAAACCGCCCAAAGGAAACTGGGCCTAAGAGTTGACGTGTGTTCTCACCAGGAAGGACCACTTCCGGGGAAGGGAAGGATGTGGTTGGTGCAACAACCCCAGCCCCACCCCCAATCAGAAAGGTCCCCGACAACGCATGTTGCGTGACCCAAGCATGCGAGCCCTGGGACGGTGTTTGGAGATTGGAGGTGAGGAAACCCCATGGGAAAAGGACAAGGAAGCTGTGGAGACGGCGTGTGCTATGTGTATGACGTGTGGGTGACCTGCACGGAGGGACTCAGTTTTCTAAGTGTTCAGCTTAGAACACTTAGAAAAAAACATGAGATTTGTGCACATCTGTGTATGTAAATTTCAGGTACAATTGGGGGACATTCAGGAAATAAAATGGCACAACGTGGTAACTGCTGAAGGTGGCTCGTCTCACCAGTCTGCTTACTGAGTAGTGTTCATATTTTTCCATAATAAAAAGAAAAAAGAAAGTTGAACTGTTGAGTCCCCACTAAGGGAGGTGCACCGCTCAGACATGGGCTTGAGGATGGACACCTGAACAGGGACCCTTGGCTTACCGAAGGCATCTGGGCTAATGTTCTGGAATCTTGAGACCTCTGATCCCCGACCGCTCTGAGCTGCAGGCACCCCTTTCCGGTCAGCTGCCTGCCAATCCTTCAGGCCGAAAAGGTCCCTGCCTGCCCTGAGCCCTCCCAGCACTCTCCCCTCCGGGCCTGCCCTGCCCTCCTGGCCATTAGCCGAAAGCAGAGTTGAGTGACTGGGTGACACCTTGGAGATGGACTGGACCTCCTGTCGGAAGTCTAAGGCTGTGTGCTAACCCCCCTCCATGCCTTCATGATGTAGCCTCAAACATGGCTCCCACTGTGTCAGTCTTCCTAGCTGGACACAAACCTCTAACTTCAGCCTCCGCTCACACGGATAGGCCACTGTGCTTCAAATCTCAGGGGCTGAAAATTTTTGCATACGTTTTAAACCCACAACAAGCTTATCAGAGAAGAGAGTGGTTAAACTCCAAGGATCTGCAGGACCTGGTGGACATGTACCTATAGGTGCCGGGACAGAGGCCACTAGGCGAGGCCCTGAGAGTGGGGCCAGGGGTCGGGCTGTCTGACCTAAGGTTGAATAAACAGAGCTAATCCATACGGAAGCAAACGCTGCGCTGCCGTTCAGATGAAAAACAGTGCAAAGGGCTCTGGGAGATGGTGGGACACGCCCCGGCCCCTCCATGGACCTAAGGAAACTGGGAAAACCAACGCCCCCATTAATGAGACCGGAAGTCAGAAAGGCGTTCACACCGGAACTGCGAGGGACCGCGAGGTCCGGGAATCCAACAAGCTGCGCTGGGAAATGGCCAACCCAGATTGCGCAAGACCAGCCCGAGGGCCGCCCATCCGGGACCCATCCGACACGCCCACCGCCGAGACCTGGTCACCTGACAGCTGCTCGGCAGAGTCTGGCCGCCAGCGGACGGGGTCGCTGCTCTGTCCCTGTGCCCACCCAGGCGGGGATCGCCTCTCGGTCCAAGAGCGGCTTCACCCCAGCGTGCTCACAGCAGAGGTCGCCAGGGAAGCGGGCTCCGTCGTACGCTCCCCGCCACACTGCGGAGCGCCTACCTACGTGCGGGGTCCTGGGCTTAGGGCGCTGCGTGGGAAGGGGGTCAATGGTCCGGCCCAGGGTGGGGTCCATGACGTGCCCTGGAAGCAGCGCGAGAACACAGGGTGACAAGGCACGAACTTCTAACATTGTCCCCTCGGCTGGAACCCAGACATGCCCAGATGCCCCCAAAGAGTGGGCATCTGGGAAAAAGGGGCCGTCTCCTGAGGCCAGCCTGAAGGTCGGCCATGGGGAGGGTCCCAGGATGGCCTGAGCCCCTCAGGCATCTCACCGCCTCCTCAGGGAGCAGAAGTCACCTGCACCCCGTTTGCCTCTGGCCCATCCAGGTGCCCAGGCTGCTCCCTCTGGGCCACCAAGAAGGAATGATGCCCCAGCAGGTTCTTCCCCTGGATTCGGGTGAGGACAGCCCCATCCCTCTGGATGTGCAGAGCCCCAGACAGTGTCTCAGTGTCCTCTGTGTGCCAGAGACCCTCCCTAGAGACCCCTCCTCTATGTTTGGGTTCTGTCCAGGGGGCTGAGAGGCCACCCTCTCAACTGAGAGGGCCACAGCACCCTGCAGCTGAAGGCATTGCCCCCCACCAGACCCTGGGTAACCCCCACAGGAGAAGGAACAGAGCCAACAGGAGGGGTGACACCTGGGTCACCCAGGAGGGGCAGTGAGGGCTGGGAT